CGACCTCGGGTGCCCAGGCTGCTGCCTGACCTCTGCTGGCCCTCTTGGGCTGGGCGTCGCCACTTTCGTAGGAATCCCTGGTCACCTATCTGGAGAGAGCAAGGCATCTCTCAGCGGGGACCGCGCTGCTATTTCAGGCAGAGGGTTGCTGCCTCGCTGTCAGGCCAGGCTGCCTTACATCACTCTCTGCTGCAGGATTCGACTGGGTTTCGCAAAGGTCTAATTTTACGGTGCTGTTAACCGGGTCTGTCGTCTGGCAGAGGCAGGCCTTGCTACTCCTGGTAGGCGGGCTGTGCTCCCAGATCCGCCCGGGATGCTATTTCTGCCCCGGTTCAAACTTCACTGACACCAGTGCAGACAGGCGCTTGGAGAGGCAGAGGAAAGAAGTGAAGGAGGAGTTTGCTGCTGAAGCTCAGAAAACGTGCCTTTTATTTTTCCAAAAGGGAAGGAGAAATATGTGTGTGTGTGTGTGTGTGTGTGTGTGTGTGTGTATACAGATATATATTAATAAATATAAAAGGAAAAGGCATGTGCAGGCAAAAAAACAACAAGCTAAAGTTAGAACATGCCTGTGTGCTGGGTTCTCCGAATGACCCACCCACGATGGATGGTCTTTAGGATGGAAGAATCCTTTAAGGTTACTGGGATAAGGGTGCTGGGAGGCTACCCAGTCCAGTTCTTTCTTTGGCCAAATAGGGAGGCAGAGACAGGAACAGGGGAAGGTTGTGTGCTGGATGGCACAGGTCCTCAATGGCAGGACCTAGAATTTAACCCCAAGTATGCTGCCTTCCAGGCCTTATCCCTCACACCCCTGAGAGGATGTGTCCAATCAACACCGTCACCTCTCCGCCCTCACAGACCCACCACCCAGACACAGCCTTCAGGCTTCATGCATGGCAATTTAGGCTTTCTTTTAAGTCAGGGGGTGGGGGGCTTTCTGACACATCCCTTTGTTTTTGTACTATACCAGGCAGGATCCAGATCCCTGGCCCTCATTTCCAAGCACCCCCACCCCCTCCCCTGCCACCCAGTGCCCTCTAGTTTGAAAGAGAAAGAAAAAGAAAACAATAGATTCAATTTGCTTCCTCCAGCTGAGGCCTTGATGCACTAAGCAGCAGTTAATCTTGTTCAAGTTTCTCCTGACCTGTTAGGTAGGTGAAATGTGGACCCCACAAGTGCTGCGCTCCTTCCACCCCCATCCCTCCGTGATCCAGAATCCCCCCTCAGAAGGAGAACGGGATTTACATGCACCTCATCCAGCACCTCCTCTTGCCACGCTTTCTTCTTTTGTTCTCAGTGTTGGACTGTTGAGTTTGCTGGCTGCTCAAAAGTCTTTTTCTTTGTCTCCCCACCCACTTCTGCAGTTCCCACTTTCTACTACCCTCCCAACCCCTCCCCAAAAAGAATACTTGCGTCTTCCCAACTTGGGGATTGCTGTAACGGGAAAGCTAGGTTTCAAGAAGTCTGTACCCTAACACGGTTCTCCCTCAACATTTGTAGTCGCGGGGCTCTAGAATATTGCAATGGTTAGAAACCACTTTTAGTAGTCAGGTGACCTAAATGGGAATCTACCTCTGCCCCTAACTGGCTGTGTGACCTTGGGCAAACTAGTTGACACTCCTTTGGGATTCAGCTTCCTCATCTACAAAGTCAGCATAGTACAAGTCCCTACCCATGAAATGAGCTCATAGGTGAAAAACACCTAGAACAGGATTTGGTGTGTAGTAAATGCTCAATAAACTTGTCTTATTATTGGATATGATTTTTGAAACATCTCACTCTTGACAGAGGACACTTAAAGGCAGGAAGGAAAGTAACTGTTCCTGGCTGCCTCCAAGGTGCCAGGCACTGTGCCAAGTGCTTGCTTTGTGCCTGCATGATTCATCCTCACAGCCGCCTGGGAGGCAGGCACCACTGCCTCTGTTTTACCACTGAGGAAACAGAGGTGCACAGAATTGAAGTGGCTTAGCTCAAAGCCCCACAGGTCATCGGGTGGGCGGAGCAGAGATGTGAACTTGAGTACCAAGTGCCTGTGTCCTCTTCATCTCTTTGGACAGAGAAGAAATGACTTCTGCAGAATATCCTCGTCCCTTCCTGCCTCTCTGTGCGCTGACCATCAGCTGCAGATTAAAGAGGATAAAACATAAGTACGAATCTCATGTGGAACCCTGGGTCTGACCTAGCAGATCCGTTTTTCTTTTCATGCCAAGTTATCAGACAGACCGGGCTTGGACTTTCTGTTGCCAATCACTTGCTGTGTGATTTGAATCAAATTTCTTCATCTCTCTATCCCTTGGTTTGCTCATCTGTGAAATGGACATAATAAGATCAACATACTGCAATAAAATAACTATGCAGAAAGTACCTGGCATGTTTCCAGCTCATTAGGGACTCAGTCAATGGTAGCTGCATCCAGTAAGTAAACCACATTCCCTTTTCCAGTTTGCTAGTCTGGTCTTCAGAAAGTGGGGCCTGTTTGTGCTTTGGTAGAGCTTTGCCTCTCGAGGTGCTGGGGAGTCCATCTAGAATAGACAGGGTATCTTGAGGAAGAGTTAGACCCCCTCAAGCCTGTTCCTTGCACTTTGATTTCCTCTTCTGTGACCTACTTGGATGACCCTGTGGTGGTAAGAGCCAGAGGAGGTCCAGAATCACTGGACCTGTAAGCAGGAAAACCAGTTAACCTCAAGGGAGAGCACGCACTCCCAGGAACAGAAGCCCGACAGTGGTCCCCGTGGAGTCCAGGTCACACACCTATTGTCACATGCATCCTGCTCCTTCCCCAAATGTCCTCCAACTTCCACGTTGCCCCCAAGCAGCCATTGACATGGGTAGATGGGGTCATGGAGGCTGCATCAGCCTTGCCTCTCCACCCAGATGAAGGCAGGTTTCAGACCAGAGGTGTGGGGCTCAGGAGCGAGCATGGGTCGTGAGTGGCCAGCCTGGCATGGACTGGGTCAGACAGTTCATTTTGCAACGGGGAAACTGAGGACCAGAGTCACAGAGGAGCTAAGAATTAAGTTATATTCCCAAACCACTCCCTCTCAAATGAGCCGGGGAGATCGCTTGGTTCAGCAGTTTCTACCCCTGGCAGCACTGGGATCACCAGCTTCTAAAACATCCTGATGCCCAGGCTGCATCCCAGGGTTTCTGATGTTATGGGTGTGGGGTTGGCCTGGGCACTGGTGGTTTTCAAAGTCTTCTCAGGTAATGTGGAAGGGCTTTCAGTGGGGAGAATCACTGATCCAGTGTGATGACTCCCTCCTCTACAGCTGGGAAAATTGAGGCCCAAAGCGGGAAGTGTTATGTCCCTGCCCATGGAGCCGGCTACTGGCTGAAGCTTTAGAGAAATTTAGCTCCCCCGATTCTGAGTTGCTGAACCTTGGCTGGGAAAGCCCCTTCCTTCATTGTTAATTCCCCTGCTGACACCAAACCTCTTGGTGCCCTGGCCCTGTTGTTCCATCTTTCCAGAGCTAGTCCTGTGTGTGAAGCCATACCCTCTCCTGGTGTTGCCTCTAACATATGAACATTCCTATGAGGGGGGAACACATTGAGTTCTATGCATCTGATTTTAAATGCAACTCTCCAAGTGCCTGGGAAGGGAATCTGTCAGAGCAGGAACAAGGGGTATTAAAAAGGGATGTTCTGGCTCAGTGGATTGAGTTCCAGCCTGTGAACCAAAGGGTCACCGGTTCGATTCCCAGTCAGGGCACAGGCCTGGGTTGCGGGCTGGGTCTCCAGGTGGAGACGTGCAAGAGGCAATCACACATCAATGTTTTTCTCCCTCTCTCTCTCTCTCTTCCCCTCTCTTTAAAAATAAATAAATAAAATCTTTTTGGTAAAGGAAGGTCAGCTCCGAGGGATTCCCACTTTGCCCTGGGGTAGTCCTGCAGAGGTGTGCTCCTGTTATTTCAAGCTCCCCTCCCCTGTGATCACTATGAAATCAGCACTAGCTGCAGGTGCCTCACATGAGGAAGAGAGATTCCCAGGTGCCCCAGGTAGGAGGACCTGCTCTACGGGCAGCTCGTACCTTGTCAACCTGTGGCCAAGGACTAAGAAAGCCTGCAGATGCCATTTCTCTCCTCGCCTGCCACCACACCTTCCCTGGACTTTAATTTCTTTTCCTTGATCCTTCCTCATCTTTTTTGATTCACCGAGGCCTTTGCATCATGCCTTGATGCACTTATTGGCAATGCCAAGAACTGACCTGTCGATCTTGGCCCCTTGGCTCCTTTGGAGATCTGAAACTGGGACTCATGAGCTCTGAGATCCAGTCCTGGCTTGGTCTCCTCTGAGCTGTGTGTCTTGGAAATTCTGACTCAACCCCTAGGGCCTCAGGGGAGAGGGATTCAGGTGTGGTTACATTCAACCTCCCTATTTCATGGGTTGTCACAGGAACCAGGTGAGACAATGGTGGCAGAAGCTATTGGCCAAGGTCAGAACCCAGTCCACACGTCAACAATAGTAGGAGGAGCCAGAAGGTGAGAGACGTGAGGGATTTACGCAATGAAGGTCATTCCTGGGGAGGTGCCTTCATTTAATTATTCACAGTGCAGACGATAAACAGTGATTGAGTTAGCAAATTTTTTGATACTGGTGGCCTCACTGGAGTCCTTTGCTGCTGGGACTTCTTCACAGTGGTAGGATATGCCAAATCCTACCACTTACTTGCTTTGTGACCTTGACAAAGTAACTGCCCCTCCCTGGACCTCGGTGTTCTCAGGGCACACAAGGAGGAGTAGGGGTGTAATAGGCACTTTCACATTGTGCCCACAGTTTTAGTGAGGCCCTGAAAAGAGGCAGAAGGGGACCTCTCTGTCTCCGCCACCTTCTTGTCACCTTATTCTGCTTAAACTGTGGAGGTCTGCAAGATTCCATTTCCAGGAATGTGCAGGTCTCAGAGTTACAGAATCTGAGTGGACATGGACGGACATTGGGAATTACTGTGACTTGTGTCAGGAGTGATAATGGTAGTGCTATGTATTTGTGAAGATCCTAATCCAGTGCAAACTTGATCACTAACTTACATGGTGATGCGGAAGTGAAGGGAACCAGGCTGGCTAAAGTGATTGTGGTGACAGAAGTGTATTAGCTTCAGGAGCTACTGAGATGGTCCATTCTATGCCAGTACAGTATAAAAAAATCCTAATCTGTTAGAAATGCATGCTAAATTATTGATTTGTGAAGAGGGTGGGGGTGTAGATGAAAGAAGATTGGCAGTGGGATAACGTTGTTGCAACCAGGGGACAGACATGTCGGGCTTCCACACAGTTTTGTCTGTCCATCTGTGTGTGATTGAGGAGCTCCATAATTAAAAGTTTCCACAGGAGGAGTGGAAGGCTTAGGTCTCTGTGTGTGTCAGTGAACTGATAGGTTTCCAAATACAGAGGCAGCCACTTGGAGAGGGTTCAGGATGCTACCAAGGTTACACAGAGATTAATGAAAAGAACACAGCCTAGGCTTCAGAATTTAGGAGACTCATCATCCTGGGGAAGCTAGAGGTGAAGGAGAGGAAGGCTGGAAGCCTTAGGGAGGGCAAGTAGAAGGGCAAGTTGCTGGGGTTTTGAGTGAGGACATTCACTGCTGTGTGGAATTGTCCCACACATTGTGAAACACATAGCATTCTTGGTTCTGTGCGTAAGAACCCCCCAGGATCTGCTAGTCATTGTGACAATACAAAACATATTGTGATGATACGCACATATACACCTACACACACACTCACATTTCCACATACCTCTATTTTTCATTACTAGCTCCTTATTTCTTTCCATCTCCAATAGCCTTGGGAGTCTCCTAGAACTTTCTAGAGCCCTGGGGGAATAGCCTGCAGTTGACTGGTCTCACGAAGAGCTGACACCATCAGGAAACGGGGAAAAGGAGCGTGTGTTTACGGAGGAAGTATTTTGTGCTGGTTGATCCTGGGACTCGAGAGTCAGACTGCCTGAATTTGATTTCCTGACTCTCCCACCTGCTAGTTGCATGACCTTGAGCGAGTTACTTAATGTCTTCAAGCTTCGCTTTTCCCATCCGTAAAATGCAGATAGTACTGGCTCCTACTTCCTAGGGTTGTTTTGAAGATTAACTGGGCCTCCATGTGGAAAAATGCTTAGTAATGGAATCTAGACCATGGGTAAGCACCCAGTAAACGTTAACTCATATTGGTATTATGTGTGCCCAGCCCTTGCCGCACGTCATTTCGAATTCTCTCAATAACTCTCTGAGTTAGGCATGCTTCTCTCCTTTGGCAGAGGCAAGAATTGCCTTTCCCTCCCTTGCCACTCAGGAAAGACTTATTGTGATGATCTTAACATAAAACAAAACTTAAAAGACAAACAGAATAAACTCTTTATTGTTACATATTACAGAATCAGTGAGTGCTCCTTGTAGAGAATCTAAGAAATATAGATAAAAACAAGAGACAAAGTAAAATTTATTCATCCCTTCCCAGGCATTTGGCAAGTATTTACTGGGTGACTGCTGCATGCCAGGTATAGTTTTGAGCCTGAGGACAAAGCAATGAACAGAAGAGGAAATGTCCCTGCCTTTGGGAGTTTATATTGAGGTGGGGGTAGGACGGGAAAGGTGAAGACAGAGTATAAATGAATGTAAAAATATGTCACATAATGTCAGGTGAGTGTTTATGAAGAAGAATAGAGGAGGGATTCTAGGGATCACTGTGGGGGTGGTGCACAAGGGGTGAGATTTAAGCGGGTTGTCAGGGGAGGCAGCAATGGGCAGTGGCATTGGAGATGAGCCCCAAGAGCAGCCCAAGGCCATCCGGGGAAGGCCCCCGTGCACAGGAGAAGGAAGAGCAGTACACTAGGAGCTGGGAGATGTTGGTTCTAGACCATTCAGTCCTTAGCTTGTTGTGTGACTTTGGACAATTCACTTATGTCTTGGGCCAATTTTCCTCATCTGAACAGAGTGGGTAGAGATGGGTTTATCTTTGTCCTAGAGAACCTTCTAGCAGAGATCTCCTAGGATTTGATCATTCCAATCAGTGCTGTCCAAATACAAAATTGCAAAGTTGGCATTAGTTCCCAGTTTTCTTCCTTTTTGGTGTATTTTCCACCACTAGGTGGTGCCTGTGCCTGTCTCCCTCAGGGGCTAAGTGCCCACACACTGGGCTTCCTCTCCCCCAGCAACACTCATTCACAGAAAAGGACATGGTATTCCTTCTTGCTAAGGTATCAGTGACTGGTAACAACTCAGAATGTTACTCTACCAGGCACATATATACTTTAATATATCCCCCAAAACACTTTGACTCCAAAAGCAAAGTACCAATTTGTAGAATTTCAGCCAAAGACTGACTGAAGACATTGTTTAGGTAATATTGATACTTCCCAATGGCTGGAAGCCATCTCATCAATATTGTTGTTAATAATAGCTGACATAAATATCTAAAAAGCTCACTAAGTGACTTTCCCAGTGATCCCTTACTTGGCTAATGGTTAGAATACTCAAATTTCATAATTTCTTACTAAACAAAGGCCATTCCAAAGAAGTTTTGACATCAGAATGGGGCACTGGCCTTTTAGTCTTGCTAATCATCTTAATCAGATCATTTCATGAATTACAATAGTAAAACTCTAGAATTTGAATTTGTAGCCATCTGTTAACCTATTTTCCTTCTGGGAATCCCCAGTACTGTCATCCATGAAGTACTTCTTGTTCCCTCTGCCCCTTCTTTTCTGTCTCTCTTCCTACCCCTTATAACCACTGCATTAACTTGACCACTTAAATTTTTCTTCAAACAAAAGAAAGAAAATTTGTCTTTCAGTATTATTTACCACAAACTCAGGGTCCATAAAACCTGGAAGAGTAGGAGACAAACATGACCCTGTTTCAATTTTAGATTGTCTAAACATAAGAATGTCTAAGGTTCAAGTCCACTTCTAAGAAACAGAAAGTCTAGTAGGTGGGAGATCACGGCCAGCTAGGACCTAAGTATGTGAATGGGGGGGAGCATGTTACTAAATGCAGAAGCCTGGTTCAGCCATTTTTACCTTCAAGGAGTTTGTGGTCTAACCTGTGCCTGTCACCTTTGCAGTCAAGAAGATATTTCTGTATCTGTCCCATATCCATCTCTTTTTAAAACCCTATTGCTCTCTAAACATGAAACATGGCTTGGCAGAATATGATTAAATGTGTTTGTATGGAAGGGATTCCCCTTCCATTTCCCCCAATGAGATTGAACATCTTTCAGCCACAAAAACTGACAAGAAAATGGAGGAAGGTAGAATAATAAGCCAATCAAGTACAGGTAGGCCTTGCTTTAAGAGATGCAAAGTATAAGACAGAAAGCACAAGAAATAAATACACATTGCATTCTGATTTGTGATGTAACATTCATGTAATTCTGAAGAACCGAGATGTGTGAGAGTGAGAAGCACTCATCTAAGCCGTTTATTTCACAGATGAGGAACTAAGGGTTGGTGACAGAAGTGGGTTGCCCAGATCAGTGACCAAGCTGGGATTAGAGCCCCTGTTCTCTGAGTATTAGGCCAGAGTGAGGTCTACCTGTCTCCTGACTTTGCACCCTTTCCCATTGAATAATTACCATCTCTCTGCTGATGAGCATCATTTATGTTCAGACTCTCATGGGCTCCAGACCATTGATCCAGCTATCCGCTGGAAATGTGAACATGAACTTCAAACACAACATACCCAAAGCTCAGTCACCTTTCCTTCAACATGCTCTATGTCCTCATTTAGTGTCACCTAGTCTAGATATGCCATCCACCATATTCAATCCGGCATCAGTTCCTGTCTGTCTTGCCTTCTTGACAATTTTATAATCTTCTTTCCTCTTTCTAGCTTAGGCCCTCTTCATATCTGGCTTTGACTCTTTGCTTAGTATTACGGTGCCACTTTTGAGCTTCAACCCCTGCACCCCTTCAACCTACCCATCAATATCTGATAGTCACATGTTTCTAAAATGCAAATTTCACTGGTCCTTCAATAGCACGGGAATTGTTTGCAGTACCCCAAATAACTTAGGCTTTCTTTATGTCATTTTTAAAATTTGATGTGCCTTCCATATCCTCATGCAGCATTTTGCAGAACACCTAAGCCTCTATAGGATCCTGCTCAAGGTTCCCCTCTTCTGGGAAGCCCTGCCTGACTCCTCTCCAAGTACAACCTCCCCTATCCATCTGTCTCCACTGTATAATCTACACACGTATGTCAAAGGACTTGGAATTCTTTCTATCGCATTTCATTGTGTGCTATTTGAGGTCATCTCAACTTCTCCACTGCCTAGCACAGTGCCTGGCTTATAAAGGAGCTATATGTAATTTTGCTCAATGAATGCATGGCTGCAAAAGAGAACCAACTAAATATCTAATGATTCTGGAAGAAAGAGCTCAGGAGCCTCAGGCATGTTGCATTACGTAACCAAAGCACATGACCTACCCCGTGGGTCACACTCAAAAACATTACACAGTGGTTAATTCCATTTCCCCTTGAGCAAAGGAGTCAGAAGGGAAAAAAATCTGGTCTTCCAAAACAGAGAGGGGAGGAGGCAGTGTATTTAAATGTCTCTTCAACTCACATTTCAGCCTTTCTAATCCAAGGTATATTTTAGCCTTGGTTTACCCTTCTCAGCCACTTCACTGTTTGCAAAGCATTTGTTTTGTGTGTGTGCTGCAGCGCATAATCCCAAGCCTCACTCTCCTCTCAGATTTCCCCCTCTCCCCCTTATCAGGTTCTCACTGGATCTCGAGTGTCCCGGCGTCATATCTGTTGCCTGGGTTTTCATCCATTTCCCTTATTCTTGATAGGGAGGCCTTTCTGTCTGCTTCCCTTAATCTTGTGAGACCTTGGGGTGACCTCAGGATCTGGAATCCTCTATCCACTGTTTATATACCCTTGGGGGGAGAGTACACATTCCCAGTCATAACAACAGTAATAAAAGGAGCTAGCTTGTAATGAGCACTTACTATGTGCTGGCTCTGTGCTGAGTGCTACACTTTAAGCCCTCTGAATTAGATTTAAAAAGTTACAGGATTCACTGAACACCCCACAGCTAACGGGTGGTAGAACCAGCATTCAAATCCAGGACATTATTATTTTTTCTATCCACAGGGCCTAACATTGCTTCTTGGAATGCAGCAGTTGTCCAGTAAAT